CTCGTTGATTTGGTTTGGGCAAGAGAGCAGAAATCGTGGCAACAATCTGTTCTGGCCACACTCCTTCACATTCGACGAGACTTAGAAGGGCGGCCAGCTCTTCAACTCCCTGCTCCGGCAAGCGCTGCACATCGGCCACTCGGAGAACGTCTATACCTGGGGCTTTCTTGGCGGGGGCCCGATACCAGAGAGAGGAGAGGTGGGAGGCCTCGATGGGCTCCAGGGGGCCCTCGCCAGCCCTTCGGAGCGCTCCCGAGATGGCCTCTTGCAGGGCTGTTGGGGTATCTACAGGATCAGTCCACCTCTGCTGCTACGCAGCCTGCTTCTCGGCCATGATGGCCGTGGGATCCGAAACGACCTTCCCTGGAGAAAGCGATTCCAGGGGGACAGGCGGGTCTTGCTTAACGTGTCGGTGCAGGATGCCTGGCTTCTTTTTCCACTGCTCCTTAGCCCAGCGCCCAAAGGCACGGCGAGACGAGGCAATCCCTCGAGCGTGCGCGCAAGCTGCGAGTCTGTCCGCAGCCTCGACAAGTGCTGGAAGATCAGCTTCGCTCTGGAGGCCGAGATCATATAAGCACGCGATCGTGGTGTCGCCAAGCTCCTGCATGCCTTTGCCTTCAAATTCAGACATGTCTTGCCCGTCAAGCTGCTCGCATTGCTTGCGCAGCTTGCTCATGCACTGCCCTAGTTGTCTCATCTTTGCCAGAGAGCCGTAGCGAAACACATATCTTGAGGAGCGTGGTGGAAATCGCCCACCATTCAGCGGGACCGTTTACCAGGTGGGCTCGGCCTGGTGAGGCCCTCGCTTTCTGCCAGAATAAGGAGAAGCCCTGGGCGCGCCCCTGGAAAGGTCCCTAATCCTCCTCCTCAACCCTGGACGCCGGCAGAATGGACACCTCCACTCTAGCGACCCAGCGAGCGTAGCAATCGTTGACTCGCTGCGTCGCCTCGGGCCGCGACGCATGCAGAAAGTGGCGAGCAACTCCATTGCCCTCCAACTCCAGGCCAGCTAGCGGCACGGCGAAGGAAGGCGGCTCGCCTACAAGCAAGCCAGCCTGCGTCCACACCTCAGCGGAGACACGGTACTCGGCTCCGTCCTCCTGAGGTACATTCGGCGCTGGTGGAGGATGGTTCAGATCACTAGCCTCCCGCAGCTCTGGAGCCACTCTGCCGCGCCGAACTAGCCGTGCTTCTTCTCGGCGTAGTGAGCTCTTGCTCGTGGGGTCGGCTTCCTTCTTGGGCCTATCCACTTGCGGCAGCCTTTTGGGCAGGCGCAACTTCTTGTGCCAAATCGGCTGCTCGGGCCTCTCGAACGAGACCGCGATGCCGCAATGGGTCTTCCATGGCACTGCGAGCACTGGGGTGAGGGTCACCCTGTCCTTCAGGCCCTCGCTGACAATCGCGAAATCGATCATGGAGCCCTGCCCTTTGTCGCATGTGATGGCACAGGGCGGGGTCAGCACCACCCCTCGAAGGAACTCCTGGATGCGGGCCTGCGCGATCTGCGGTGGGGAATGGTTCCAGTCGCCCATGATCACGCACGGGTCCGCCAAGCTCCTCACGAAAGAGACGAGCGCCCTCAGCGTCTTATCGTTGGGCCCCTTGGTGAGCCCGAACTTGGGAGCGAGGTAGGTACAGATCATAACCACATTGCCACCATTCATGTGCCAGACGAGGGCCGAGAAACCGTGAAAGGGGCTAGCAGCACCGCTAGCGCGGTACTTGGTGAGGTACTCGAAAGAGGAGGTCGCCACATGGGCACGTGCCAGGATGGCCTCACCTGCTGATGTGCCCGTCACTGATCGCCCACTCGTCCTGGCAGGCGTGGCGACCATCTTCCAACCGCCCTTCCTCACCGCTGCCTGCACCTCGGCGGCACGCTCTTCGTTGAGATGAGTTTCGACGAACATACACAGGTTAAGCTCCGTCTGGCTCGCCACGTACCTGTGGATCTTAGTGCCCCACTCTGTGATGTTACCGCACAGCGCCGAGACACAGTGGCGACCATCCCTTGGTTTGTCAATCAGCTTGGGCAAGTCCAGCTTCGCCAAGGAGGCCACCTGCTCTCGCTTGGACTCCGCCTTGGCCAAATCTGATGCTGCTGCTTCGGGGAGGTCGCCTGCTCTACCACAGTCGCCTTCTCCAGCACAGGCTCGGCCGCTTGCTCAATGCCATGTGCTAGAGGCTCTTGGATGTCCCCTGCTTGCACACTATCGAGGTACTCGTCCAAATCAGCAAAGGGATCGTGCTCATCTGCAGCTGGGCCTTCGCGATCTCCCTGAGGGCTCCACCCGTCGGCGGCCCTGGAGACGCGCTCATCGGGAAGGAGGGTCACGGCCACCCGCGCGTCCGCGGCCTCATGCATCCGATGGTGGGCCCCGTTGCTGCTCTCATACCGCGTTTGTGAATATTCCTGACTGTTCTCCTTCGATCTCGAAGGGCGTCCTGACTGCGTGTTTTTCAACGCTGCACCTAGCGCCTGTGGGGATGAGGATGTCGCTGTCGGCGATCCCGCCCACGTCGATGTAGGTGGAGCCGCTGAAGGGGTACCAGCGCCCCCCTTCTCGACACCGTCGTCGTAGTAGTAGTAGTACTCGATAGGCTCGCCTGCAGGTGTTCGGTCCTGGAGCGCGGCGCGGAAAGCCTCGATGACCCGACGCGCTGCATCCCATATCTTCGAGACTGCCTTCCGCCAGGTCGCATGCTCAGGCTGCGCGGCAAGAGATGCCAGGTGCATCAGGGCAGCGCGTCTCGTCGGCCCCCCTCTTCGCCAAGCCTCCGTGCAGAGCTCCTCCGCCTGCTGAAGGCTGCAGTGCGTGGTCTCCATGACGTAGGGCACGCACCATCGCATCCACTGGTGCTCGCCGCGCTCGCCGGCGCCCAGGCGTGAGATCCACTGGCCAGCGCACTGCTTGAGCTGGTCGGCTGCTCTCTGAAGCGCCGCAGGTCGGCCCCACCCCATGGGCGAGCGGCGACCTCGTACTCGAACGTCGTGTGCAGCGGGGCCTTCGCTATCTCCCTGCAGGCTCCACCCGTCGGCGGCCTGGGAGACGCGCTCATCGGGAAGGAGGGTCTCGGCCACCCGCGCGTCCGCGGCCTCCTGCATCCGATGGTGGGCCCCGCTGCTGGTAGAAGCCGAACTGTAAGTTCTTGCGGCTTGCTCTGCCCTGGAGGTGAGTGCGGGGCCCGGAGCCGCTCGCTCTGCCTCAAGGGTGAGTGCGAAGCCCGACGATGCGGCTAGCTCTGCCGCAAGGGTGAGTGCGGGGTCTGTAGCCGCTCGCTCTGCCCCCGCGGTGAGCGCTAAGGCCGTTGACCTGGACATCGATGCTCGTGAGCCTGCCATCTCCAGCACGTCAAAGCCCCTGCTCGTCGCCCTTGGCTGCTGCCAGCAGCCGCTGGACCTTGTCCTCAAACTTCGGCCCTTCGCCAGCGGCGCCAGCACCGTGATCGCCAGGCACAGGAATGCTCTCAGCGGTCCGCGCAGTCGCACTGCCCGCTGTAGGAGCGGCACTGGCGGCCTCTGCCGCGGGCGCCGCGGCTGGCGCCTGAGCCTCAGCTGGGGGCTCTCCAGGCTGCTCGGCAGGGGGCGCCTCCTCGCGCCGCTGCCGCTTGGCATTGAGACGCTGCCGCATCTCGTCGGCCCCCTTCCTGCACTGGCCAACATTGCTGGCCGTCTCTCCGAAGATCTCGCCAATATTTTGCTTGAGCTCCGCCGCGAAGCGCGCCTGCAACGCCAGAAAGGCCTCTTTCTCGCCCTCGTCCACCTCGAGCCCCTCCAGGGAGAAGGCGGGCCCCGCCTCGAAGTGGACCTCATCGCTCTCGAGGAGGGCAGCGAGGTTGAGCGTGGCCGCTGGCTTGGACGCCCCGCTGGGAGCCGCAGCTGTGCGCGCCTGCCCACGCGCGCGCTGCAAGGCCCGAAGCGCCTCCTCCGCCCGCTCCTGCGCACGGACAGCCTCCTGAGCAGCGTGCAACGCTGCCTCCTTGCGCTCCATGTACCAGTCGTGCGCCTTGGCCTCGGACTCCACCGCCTTGTCCAAGGCCAGCTTGGCCTTGCGCACGCTGGTGCTGGTACTCCTGGTTGGGGCCCCTCTGCACCACAGGTGGTGGCAGCTGCTGCTTGAGCCCCTCGATCGCCGTCGGGTCGAGGTGCGGAGCCGCCACCTGCAGCGCCTTGAGTAACTGCTCAGGAGTCTGGACCTCTTGCTTGTGCTCGTTGACCAGTGCGCCGCCCTTCTTGCGATGACGGCGCGACTTGGGCCATTCGCTCCACTCCTTCCAACCATCACGCTGCTCACCGCGAAGTGCTGTCTGGATACGGTTGTCCCAGACTCCCCGTGATGGTTCCGATGCTGGTGGTCCCGTGCGCCACGGTGGCTGCCCTCCGAGCTCCATCTGCTTGCCACAGCATCTTGCGGCCTTTTCCACGTCCACCTTGTACTCGCATGACACGCATTTGACGAACCCATTTGCCTGGACCATGGGCTCGACAGTGTGGAGGCTAGCGAACCCCTCGCCCCAGATACGCACTCCGCTGGGAGCCGCTGGTCGCGCACTGGGGAACGAGGGACCTCCGTGAAGGATGAAAGCTGCCGCGGACTAGCGGTATCCAGTTTTGCCAATGCGGTCTCCGCCCGCCAAAGCATAGCCTTAAGCCAAAATGGCTACGGAAGAGAAGGAGGAGTAGGAGAAGGAGGAGGAGAAGGAGGAGGAGGAGAAGGAAGGAGGAGGGGGAGGAGGAGCAGGAGGAGGAGGAGGAGGAGGAGGAGGAGGAGGAAGGGGAAGGGGGAGAAGGAGAAGGAGGAGGAGGAGAAGGAGGAAGGGGAGGAGGGGGAGGAGGAGGAGGAGGAGGAGGCGGAAGGAGAGGAGGAGGAAGGGGGATGGGGGACGAGAAGGAGGAGGAGGAGGAAGGAGGAGGAGGAGGAGGAGAGGAGGGGAAGGGAGGAGGGGGACGCATCGGAAGGGGATGGTCTGCCAGGGGTCGGCCAGACCGCCCCCGCAACCTCGCCCAGCGCCCGCGTGCAGACCGACGTGTGCACCAGGTCTGGCAGGCCGTCCCCGACCTCGATGTCGCGCTTGATCTTCCTGTGGAGGTCGTTCTCGGGGTCGTACCTCAGGGCCGCGAGGAGGAGGAGGAGGAGCAGCAGCAGGAGGAGGAGGAGGGGGGGAGGGGGAGGAGGAGTAGGAGGAGGGATGAGGAGGAGGAGGAGGAGGAGGAGGAGGAGGAGGAGGAGGAGGAGGAGGGGGGGGAGGGGAGGAGGAGGAGGAGGAGGAGGAGGAGGAGGAGGAGGAGGAGGAGGAGGAGGAGGAGGAGGAGAAGGAGGAGGGGGAGGGGGAGGAGAAGGAGAAGGACGAGGAGGAGGAGGAGGAGGAGGAGGAGGAGCAGTCTGTGCACGTGCACTTCGGCGGCAACTCGTGTCGACAAGCGCGTTCCACTACTCGCACAGTCCCTACTCGCACATGGCCTGGATCTGCCTCAGGGGATGCACACGACAAGCTACACCAAGGCAGACGTATGGTTTTCCGGACGTTTGCGAGTGGGCACTTTGCGAGCAGTGGAGCGCGCTCGGCGATCATGGGAGCCTCCCACGCCATCTTGTAGGCTCCTGCGAGACGACGCCAGTCGACGCTGACTCGACGCCAGTCGACGCTGCGAGACCACGTGAGGGTACGCAAGGCTCCCATGATTTGCTGCCGGATGTCCACTGCTCCCTGGCCAGGCCCAGCCTGGACCCGGGAGCCGTGCCGACGCCGACCTCCTGGCCTGGCCAGGAGGGCGTATACACAGCTTCTGGGTTCGCGATGGGCCCGGCCAGGGAGCGGTGGACATCTGCATACTCTGGGTGGGATATTAGTCGGGGGGTGGGCGACTAAACTGCCGACGGAGCTCGCCCATCCCCACCCCCTCCTCCACCTCCTCCTCCACCTCCTCCTCCTCCTCCTCCTCCTCCCCCTCCTCCTCATCCCTCCCCCTCCTCCTCCTCCTCCTCCTCCTCCTCCGCCTCCTCCTCCTCATCCTCCGCCTCCTCCTCCTCCGCCGCCTCCGCCTCCTCCTCCTCCTCCTTCGCCTCCTCCTCCTCCTCCTCCTCCTCCTCCTCCTCCTCCTCCTCCTCTTGTCGCCCGACACCTGTCCGTGAGACACCACTCGTAGCACGCGAAGGTGCCACCAGGCTTCAGCACGCGCAGGATCTCGCTGTACACTTTTGAACGATCTGGCGCGTGGCAAGTGGATTCGATCGCGTACACGCCGTCGAAGTGGTTGTCGGGAAAGGGCAGCTTCATGAAGTCGCCCTGGATGAGCTGAACCTTGTCGTCGAGGCCATCGCGCTTGCAGATGGCGTTGCCGCGGTCCACCTGGAACTGATTGATGGTGATAGCCTTGATGCTCGCTTCTGTGAACTTTGCCATGTTGCGTGCTGGGCCCCCAATGCCGCAACCACAATCAAGCAGAAGAGATCCCTTGTTGACACCGAGCCGACCGGCCAAGTAGTACTCGTGACGCAGGATGGACTGCTGGAAGGACTCGCCCTTGCGGCGGTCGGCGAAGTGGAAGCTGGTTCCCCATCCCCACTCGTAGAACTCGGTGGCGAGGTCGTAGTAGTCGTTCACGAGCGTCGCGTACTCCGCGTTGCGGTCCCCCGCCGACTTGTCCCCAGCATACTGCTTGGTGTACCCGTCGATCCGGCCCGCGGTCTGCTTCTTTTGATGGATCGATTTTCCACCACCAGTACCATAGGTAGGAGAGGGAGGAGGAGGAGGAGGAGGAGGAGGAGGAGGAGGAGGCGGAGGAGGAGGACGAGGAGGAGGAGGAGGACGACGACGAGGAAGAGGACGAGGAGGAGGACGAGGAGGAGGACGAGGAGGAGGACGAGGACCTCCCCATCCTCCCTGTGGTAGTAGTGGTGGGAAATCGGCCCACCATCTTCGATCTGGACATCGACAGCAAGAAATCAACTGTCTGCTTGAATCCCTTCGCCAGCGACGGGCCCAGGAGGAGAAGCAGGACGCCGGACGCCGCCGCGACGACCACCCCGGAGGGCTGCGCGGCGCACAGGGCAGCGCCCACGGCGCCGAAGACGAGCGCCCCGCTCAGGTCCATGCTTGTGATGGCCAAAAATCCGCCACCGTGCCCCTGGGGCAGGGAGCGGAGTGTCCCCAGGTCCCTGGCTCGGAGGAGGAGGAAGGGGGAGGAGGAGGAGGAGGAGGAGGAGGAGGAGGAGGAGGAGGCGGAAGATCAGGAGGAGGAGGAGGAGGAGGAAGAAGAGGAGGAGGAGGAGGAGGAAGAAGAAGAGTAGTAGGAGGACCCTGAGCCTCAGCCCTCAGTCTCGAGGACTCGATAAGGGGGCCCGGACCAACAACTCCCAAAGAACGTCTTATGTCGGGCGTGTCCCCCTACAGGGGGATTTTCGACGAAAAGCAAAAGATACCCCAAAAATACCCCAAAAAGGTTTTTCTTTTTTTTAATAGTCCACAAATAGTCCCCCGACTATCTTTGGGCTATTTTTTGACTATTTTGGGGGGTATCTTTTATTTTTCGCCGAAAATCCCCCTGTAGGGGGACAGGCCCGACCTAACGATAGGGGGCCCGGACCCCCAAAACTCCCAGCAGATCAGGAGGAGGAGGAAGAAGAGGAGGAGGAGGAGAATGAAGAAGAGGAGTAGGAGTAGGAGGATCCTGAGCCTCAGCCCTCAGTCTCGAGGATTCGATAAAGGGGGCCGGACCCCCAACTCCCAAAGCACGTCTTATGTCGGGCGTGTCCCCCTACAGGGGATTTGTCGACGAAAAGCAAAAGATACCCCAAACATACACCAAAAAGGTCAAAATATAGTCAAACAAATTGTCCCCTGACTATTTTTGTTAACCATTTTGAGACTATTTCGGGGGTATCTTTTATTTTTCGCCGAAAATCCCCCTGTAGGGGGACAGGCCCGACCTTACGATAGGGGGCCCGGACCCCCAAAATATCCAACGCACGCCAAAAATCTTCTCGGGCCTGGCGCGCGCCCTCCGGGGCGCGCCGCGTGCCGGGGAGCGCTCCCGCGTGCGACGACTTTCTCGGGGCCGAGAGGGGGGCCCAGAGAGCTCCAGGAGGCCGCAGGACGCCCAGGACAGACCCCAGGGGTCCGCAGGAGATTCCCAGGAGACTCCCAGGAGGCCCCAGGAGGCCCCCTATCAGAACGTGTCAAGTTAATACAAATCTGGTGTCGATTCGTTGACTTTTCCTGCTCTTGTGCCCCCCCCCGACGGTCACATGTTAGATATCCCCCCCAGCCCCAGGTGGGGTCCAGGAGGCCACAGGAGGCCCAGGAGGAAGCCCCAGGAGGTCACCAGGAGGTCCCAGGAGGCCCCAGGAGGCCCCCGCAACTCGGAGCTCTGAGACGCCGCGCTCGAGGTGGTCCGGCCCGTTTCGCCTGAGACTTCCTCGCAGCACGTTTCGCCCGAGACATCGTCGCAACTCTGGGGTCCGAAATGCCGCGCGCGAGGTGGTCCAGCCCGTTACGCTGGAGACATCCTCGCAACTCTGGCTCCGAGATGCCGTTCGGGATGAAGAGGAGGTGAAGGAGGAGGAGGAGGAGGAGGAGGAGGAGGAGGAGGCATGTTTCAACATGCCATGCCAGCCCGCACTGGACGGGCACGCAATCGACCTTGGAAACCGCAGTGGGTCTAAAAGCCCTGTTTGGGGATACTGCACTCCGGCTATAATCCTTTTTAATCCCTCTCCTCATCCTCCTCTTCCTACCCCCCGTGTTCCCCGAATGGCTTCCACAACTGCTGGGCGAAACCATAATCCAATAGCGTGGCCAAACTTTACCCCAACGTTTGGTCACACAGGCGTATCCTGAAAGGCAGGTGGCGGCGGAGATTCGCCGTAGGCGTCTTCGATGATGCTCCGATCGGTTCGTCTGCACAGGTCTGGGGAGTTCGGCAGTCGAGCGACGATAGCCTCTTGGCCCGAAATGGCCACTGTCGAGATCTTGATGCATGTCATCCTGGCTCGCTCATTTGGTTTTGGTGGCCAGGGCGAGAACAACGCAGAATTCGGTTCTTGACTGTCTTTGATCTAAGAAAAGATATGCCGACCTTCGCTTGCTGAGGTGAACAACCGTAGAGCTGTTCGGGTGCCCCCCACTCTCGTCCACTTTTCAGATGTCCAGATTCCAGTTCGAGGTGGGATCTACACATTGACCGACAGACATCCGAAGAGGCCCCCATGTGTGGTGCCATACGGGCTTCTCTCCCTTGACCACCCAGCTACCCTTCTCAGTAAGCAGGGCGAACAGAGAGGACGACTGAGGGGGCATGCGATAGGACGTGTTCAAGACGGGGCCTTCAAAGTCAAGGGTTTTGCCGATAACCGAAACAACATGTGCGACATGTGTGACAGGCCCCCCCGATTTGTCACCATTCTCCGCTTTTGCGGTACACAAGGCGGACGGGGGAAAGCAGTGGTAGGCACCTGATGTGACAACGAGCGCATGAGCCCACATAGAACGGAGAGTGACGTTGTTTGAAAAACATGCCACCCGTCCACCCATCGATCACACTCCGCGATGCTCAGTCCCGCCAGCCCTCATGGCTGCCGTTGGCCTACGCAGAAATGTCTACCTCTACGCTGGAATACTCCCCCCCACAGCCCAGCCACGCAGGGAGGGTGTCCGAATGCCTGCAAGAATCTTACTCTGATGTCGGCTTGGGCTCCCTTAGAATCCTCTTGCGGACTCTTGACTGCTTCGCGGATGCCTCTTGAGGCCTCCTGTGGGCCTCTTGGGAGCCTCTGGGAGCCTTTTGGGGTCATTGTTGTGTATTGCCAACCACGGTAGGTTTCTCAACTACCTTTTGAGGATTTCGACGGCTTTGGGGGCCTACTGGGGACATCTTGGGATGGCTTCTGGACGTGTCCCGCTGCTCCCATGTACTTACTCTGCCCTTCCTACTCCCTCCCCTTCCCCTCCTCTTCTCGTCCGTCAAATGCAAAAGGGCGTCCCTCGCCCTCTGTAGAGTAAACAGTGGGCCAAGTCCTGAGATTCTCCTTGGGAGGTCCAAGTTCTCGAAAACATCCACCTCTGCGGGTAGAAGAAGGATAACAAGTGGCACGCGTGCCCTGGCTGTTGCACAAAGGAGCTGCGAAGGACTGGGAAGCCTGGACGGAGGAAGGCTGGACGGAGGCAGGCTCCCAAGGGTGGGCGGCTCAGGGGAGCTGGGGCTCAGGCTCAGGGGGGGGGCCGAGGGGGACGAACCACCACGAGCCACGAACCACGAACCACGAGTCAGGGGGACGAACCACAACGAGCCACCTCTGCGGATAGAAGAAGGATACTTAATGCAATGGTGCGGGACGGGCGGGAGGGGTAGCTACAGGTGTTTCGCAGCCATACCCACTGGCAGGCTTCTCCCCTTTCAAGATCGACCCCCAGGCCTCTACTGAGGCGCGCTTCGACCGGAATCTCGAATGGTATCCACGAAAAGGCCTCCTAGAAGGCAAACAGGAAAAGGAGAACGGCGCGAAAAAAACGATCCTCGATCCTCTCCTCCCTTGTCCGCCTCTGTCATCCCTACCCGACGACGACGCCAACGACGACGACGACGATGACGACGACGACGACGACGACGACGACGACGACGACGACGACGGCGACGGCCCACTTTGGCGGCGCGCACAAGGGAGTGGAGGGAGGGGGGAGGGCTTCTTAGAAGGAGGCTGCTTCTTAGAAGGCGCCGGCCGGACATCTATAGAGAAGGCCCGCGCCTTCTAGGAAGCAGGGGTGCTTCTGAGAAACCCTCCCCCCTCCCCCCACCCCCCTCTGCGCGCGGCTGACCACTGGCGCGGGCGAAAGCGGGGCCGCGGGCCGACGACGACAACGACGACGCCGCCGCCAGCGCCGACGACGACGACGACGACGACGACGACGACGACGGCGACGACGACGATGACAGGCGACGGCCCACTGGCGCGGGCGCAAGCGGGGCCGCGGGCCTCGTCCTCCGCCACCCTCCAGAGGCCGGCGCTCGTGGCCAGGTCGACGAGGGAGAGGCGCGAGACGCGGCTGGGGCGCGCCCCGGGGCACGGCGAGGGAGCCAGGCTCGAGGAGGAGGAGGGGGAGGGAGGAGGAGGAGGAGGAGGAGGAGGAGGAGGAGGAGGAGGAGGAGGAGGAGGAGGAGGGGGAGGAGGAGGAGGAGGAGGAGGCCTCGATGATCCTCAGAGCGTGCGTCGGCGCCAGCGTGTGCTCGTCCACCGAAACCCTTCCACACACGACGCAAGCAATGCAAGGAGGGTCGACGCGGTGAGCGCGCCGTCGGCGGAGCTGAACGAGGGAACACACACACACACACACACACACACACACACACACTGGGCTAGCACACGTCCTGAGCATCGTCGACAGACACGACAGGCTGCGGCAACGGACCGCTCCGCGGCGGCTCCGCTCCCGCAGAAGCCCGCTCCGGCAGAGGCCGCTCCAGCAGAGGTCGCTCGGGAGGAGGCCCGCTCCGGCAGAGGCCGTCTCGGCCGAGGCCGCTCCAGCGGAAACCGCTCCAGCAGAAGCCCGCCCGTCCTGCCCGTCTCGGACTGCCGGGCTCGCCCGCCTGCCTCTCAGTGGCCTGCCCGCCCACCTCTGAGGTTCCCACCCCCCTTGTCATCACCCCGGAGGGAGGGAATGAGGGAGGGACGGGGGGAGGATGGGGAGGAGGAGGAGGAGGAGGAGGAGGAGGAGGAGGAGGAGGAGGAGGAGGAGGAGACGGAGGAGACGGAGGAGGAGGAAGAGCCCGCCCGCTCGATCCGCCCAACCCGCCCGTTGGGGTCTGCCCGCCCGATCCGCCTGCTCGGCAGGAGAGCCGGGGCCCGGGGCCAGCGGTCTCTGGGAGAGCGGGCTCACGGGCGAGCGGGCTCCTCCTCCTCCTCCTCCTCCCCCTCCTCGTCCTCCTCGTCCTCCTCCTCCTCCTCCTCCTCCTCGTCCTCGTCCTCGTCATCGTCCCCGTGCGGACGCACGGGGCACCACCAAGAGTTCTCTGAGCTCGAAGAGCGCCCCTGATCAGCCCGCTCCAGTGAATGGCCGGGCGACCACGGTCTAGGACCTTACGCCCTCACATGCGGGGCAGGCACGACCCCCCCCAGGGAAGTAAGGCCACATGGGCCTGGATGCCCATCCGTGTCGATGGACAGGCACGGGCACCCGCCTCTGGTGCCTGAAGCAAGGATGCCCGTCCCTGTTGACGGACAGATCTGAGCATCCCGCCCTCGCATGCTGGCTGGGCACGGGCAACCTTGGTCCGCCTCAATGGCTGCGGGACGGCCTCATTGCCGTTTCGGGCGCGGCATCTTCGCCGTCGACAGGGTTCTGTAGGCACCGCATTGGCCTGGCTGTCAAACAAGCATTGGCATCCATCCCCCGTGCTTAGTGCTAAGATGCCCATCACTGCTGATGGACAGCTTTGTAGATCCCGCTGCCCCTGTCGACAGCACTGGCATCCGCCCCTCGCGCCATAAGCTAGGGTGCCCATCCCTGTCTAAAGACAGGCACGGGCATCCCATCCTCGCGACGAAAATATTGCTCGACATCAACAAACAGTGGTCCGCATCAACGACCGCGAAACGGCCACGATGCCGCTGCCGACACGGCATTTTCGCCATTGCCGGCGTCCGGTAGGCCACTGGTTGGCGTGGGTGTTCATCCCTGTCGATGGACGAGCACGGGAATCCGCCTCCTCGTGCCCAAAGCTAGAATGTATGCTCACCCCTGTTGACGGACACGCATAGGCATCCCGCCCTCGCAAAGAGGACTCGATGGGCACCGAGAAGGTTGATCCGCCGCAGTGACCGCATCGGCGTCGGAACGTCTGGTCCGCGTCAGGCGGCCGCGAAGCGGCCCCTCTGCCGTGGCGCGAGCGGCATGTTGGCCATGCCATGGACGGCGTTTCAGTGGGCACCGCGTCGGCCTGGATGCCCAGCCTCGTCGATGGACAGGCCGAGGGAGCCCGCTCCTCCTGCCCAGTGCCAGGGCGCGGGTCCCCTGTGAGGAACAGGCACCCGCATCCCGCCCTCGCAAGCAAAAGGACTGGCCGGGCACCGAAAGCTAGAATCCGCCTCCTCGTGCCCAAAGCTAGAATGTATGCTCACCCCTGTTGATGGACACGCATAGGTATCCCGCCCTCGCAAAGAGGACTCGATGGGCAACGAGAAGGTGGATCCGCCGCAGTGGCCGCAAGGTGGCTGCATCTTGCCGCTGCGGGCGCGGCGGCCTCCGACAGTCACTCCGCGCCGCGCGCGAGCCACTGGCGGAAAAATCGGTGAAGCCTGGAAATCGGCACCAACACCAACATGGGGTGTTGCCTCCGCAGGGGAAGACGATCCTCGATTTCGGTGTTGATGGTAACATTTCGGTCGCCTTGGAAGCCAGAATATTACCACCATCACCGAGATTGGGATCTTCTTCCCTCGGTGGAGGCGCACCGCCGATATTGGTGTTGGTGTCAACCTCCAGGCCTGCGAAAATCGGTGGAAGCTGGAAGAACTCATCTGTGGAGGTCGCCCGCAGGGACCCTCTATCTGCACGGGCACCCATCAATGTTGGGTCTCGTCTCTGCGTCTCGGCTCGGGCCTCGTCGAGGGGCCGGGAGCCTCCCCCATCGGCGGCGATCCACAGAGGCCGCCCCGGCCCGGATGCCCGCCCCCGGTGCCCCGGTGGTGGAGAGGCACCGGCATCCGCCCCTCGCGCCGGAAGCTCGGAATCCCAGCCCTGTCGATGGGCAGGCACGATCATCTCATGCGCTGGGCACAGAGAATGTTTCAGGATACGCTGCGCGCCCACATCTCGCCCCATGGCGGGGGCCGCGAGGGACCACTTTGAAGGATATGTTTCTGCTGGCGTTGGCGGGCGTGAGAGCTGTGCTTGGGTGCCCGCAAACAGCCTGTGGGCGGAAATGCGGGCGATTTCGTTGAAGTTCTGGAAAGCACGTGGAGTCCATAATCAAACCCTTCGTTGACGCCTCCAGGAAGACGGACTGACGCGGTGACAGATGGGACCACCCAGGGGAGACATGATAGTTTGCGTTACAGACGCTGACAGGGAGGGTGGATGTGGATAGCCGCTTGCAGCAACCAGCCCCCGACGGCTGTAGTTCTATCTCTGGGGGTGACGGGCAAAGCATGCAGACCTCGGGCCGCCTCTTCCCGCCCACCCGGGGCCGCGAAACGTGCGAGGGCGGCGCCGGCATGCGGCGGCGCCGCCTCGTGCTGGCCCCCGCCCCCGTTGGGAATCGGAGGGGGGGTCTGCGCGCACTGACGGGCGGCTCTGCCCTTTCCCACCGCGCCCCTGCAGCTGGACAGGGGCAGCATCCCCAACAGAGTGGCCTGAACGTTTCGAAGCAGCTCTGTTTGAATGTCTTTGGCGGCTGCAGGTTGCAGCGGCCTCTTTGCTTCTTGCCTGCTCTGGGCCAGTGGCCGCGCGCTGCCCCGCCCCCCCCGAGGCGGTTTCCGCTGCAGCTGGCCCTGCCCGGCGCACGGGCTGCGGGGTCGCGCGCCCGTGGCGTCGGGCCTGCCCTGAGTCAGCGGGCGCCTCGCACTGCGTCGTTGCTGGCGACCCAGCCTGCCTGCTCAGCGCACGCGCCAGCTTGACGACATACTGTACGCAGCGGGGCGGCTTCCCCGAGAAGCCAGTCCATTGACGGTTCGCGGGGGGTAGGTAGGTGGTTCGTGGAATTGGGCGCGGCAGCGCCGATGGTGCTTGGGGGAGGAGGAGGAGGAGGAGGAGGAGGAGGAGGAGGAGGAGGAGGAGGAGGAGGAGGAGGAGGAGGAGGAGGAGGAGAAAGAGGAGGAGGGAGGTGGAGGAGGGGGAGGGGGGGGGGGGGAGGAGGAGGAGGAGGAGGGGGAAGAGGAGGAGGAGGAGGAGGAGGAGGACGAAGCGGCTGACCACGCCCCCAGCTCACCAGAGAGTTCCGAGCGGGATCCAGCGGGGCCCAGCCGCTGCGGCGGCAGGAGGGCCCAGGGGAATGTCATCAGACTTCCCCACGGTCTGGAACGAGCCTATCGAGGCATCGAGCCCAGGGGGATGAGATGCGTAACTACGAGCCTATCGAGCCCAAGGAGATGAAAGATAGGGCCCATATCAAGGGCTCAGGGGCTCGAGCCCATATGTCATCCCCCCTGGCTGCTTTCCCCCCATCGGGCAAGAGAGTCACGCTGAACCCTCGCGCTCGAGGCAGGACGTGGTTCTTGGACTGGTGCGGGACAGGGTGCCAGCGGAGTTGTTGGGAAGCTTCCCAGCAACACCATGTGCTGCTCAGTAGTTGTCCTGCCATCGAGTGGCACACCATGATTATGCATCAGCCACCTGGCCCTACCAACAGGGCGACGGCGCCCCAACCCCTCGTGTCCCGCGCCCGCGCGAGATGCGCATTGCGCGCCAGGCGACTGGGCAGAATCGGATGGCGCCGCGACGCTCGCTTGGGCCTGCTTAGGTGCACGCTTGTGCCCCAGTGGCATAACCGCCCATTCTGGTGTAAATTGAAAGGGGTCGGCTCTGCAGCCCCTCCCGGGGGTACCTGCAGGTTTGCTCCTGGACCCCTGGAAGTGCTGCAAAGATATAGAGAGGGTGGGGAAGAGAAGGGGACAGGGGGGGAATTTCATCGGCCCTCTCCGCGGTCCAGCTTGACTTAGGTCGGGCGTGTCCCCCTACAGGGGGATTTTCGACGAAGAATACAAAATAGTCAAACAAATACTCCCAAATGGCAACTCTGGATTAGATCTGCGCCCCGAGAAGGAGGAACAGGAGGAGGAGGAGGAGGAGGAGGAGGAGGAGGAGGAGGAGGAGGAGGAGAGAGGAGGAGGGGGGGAGGAGGGGGGGGGAGGAGGAGGGGGGGGGGGAGGAGAGGAGGAGGTGGAGGAGGAGAGGTAGGAGGAGGTGGAGGAGGAGGAGGAGGAGGAGGAGGAGGATGGGAGGAGAAGGAGGAGGAGGAACAGGAGGGAGGAGGGAGGGAGGGAGGGAGGGAGGGAGGGAGGGGGGAGGGAGGGGAGGGAGGGTAAGAGGAGGAGGTAGAGGAGGTGGAGGTGGAGGAGGAGGAGGGGAGGAAGGAGGAGGGAGGAGGGGGAGGAGGGAGGAGGGAGGAGGGAGGAGGGAGGAGGGAGGCGGAGGTGTGAGTGTGAGGAGGGCGGAGGGAGGACGGCGGAGGCGGAGGGCGGAGGGCGGAGGGCGGGGATGGGCGGAGGCGGAGGGCAGGACGAAGGTCGGAGGGAGGACGGGAGGAGGGCGGAGCGCGGAGGGAGGAGGGCGGAGGGAGGAGGGCGGAGGGCGGAGGGCGGAGGGCGGGCGGCGGAAGGCGGAATGGGCGGAGGGCGGAGGGAGGAGGGAGGAGAGGAGGGAGGAGGGAGTGAGGGAGGAGGAGGATAAGAGGAGGAAGAAGGGAGGAGGAGGAGGAGGAGGAGGAGAAGAGGAGGAGGGGGAGAGGAAGGGAGGGAGGAGGAGGAGGAGGAGGAGGGAGGAGAAGGAGGAGAAGGGGGAGGAGGATGAGAGGAGCCGGATGGAGGAGGAGGAGGTGGAGGAGGAGGAGGAGGTAGGAGGTAGGAGGAGGAGAGTGAGGAGAGAGGAGGGAGGAGGGGAGGAGGAGGAGGAGGGGAGGAGGAGGAGAAGGAGGAGGAGGAACAGGAACAGGAACAGGAAGAAAGGACGAGGAACCAGGGAGAGCGGAGCAGGGAAAGACGAGGAGCGAGGGGGCAAGCGGCGCGGCGACGACAGGCGGAGCGCCCGCCGTACCAGCCCGCAGCGGGCCCCGTGGCGGCATGTGAAGGGAGGAAGGACGGCGAGGGGGCGAGGGGGCGAGGGGGCGAGGGGGCGAGGTGGGGGCGGGGGCCAGAGGGCGAGGAGGCGAGGAGGGCGAGAGGGCGATGGGGGGCGATGGGGGCGAGGCGGCGAGGGGGGCGAAGGGCGAGGGTGGCGGAAGAGGCTGCAGACGAGGAAGAGCGCGGAAGGGCGAGGAGAGGGGGGCGGGGGCGAGGGGAGAGGGGAGCGGTAGGGGGGGAACGGGGGAGGGAGGGAAGGAGGGGGTGAGGGAGGGAGGGAGGGAGGGAGGAGGGACGCAAGAGGGAGGAGGGAGACCGAGAAGAGGAATAAAGGAGGAGGGAGGGAGCGAGACGCCACGCACCTCTAGGCTAGGTGCGTGCCAAGACTGCGGATTGGGGGAGGGAGGGAGGGGGCGAGGAGGGAGTGAAAGAGGGAGGGAGGGAGGGCGGGAGGGAGGGATGGGTGAGGAGGGGAGTGGAAGCTGAGGGTGGGAATGAGGCGGAGCGGGAGTGCGGGCGGGAGGGAGGGAGGGAGGAAGGGAGTGGAAGCTGAAGGGAGGGAATGAGGCGGGGAAGGAGGGATGGAGGGAGGGAGGGATGGGCGAGGAGGGAGGTAAGGCGTGGAAGCTAGGGAGGGGAATGACAGAACGAGGCGGGGAGGATGACGCGACGGCGGGGCAAGCCTCGCAAACTGCGCCGCGTAAGGCTCGTAAAAGGCACCCGCGCTCGCCGTCTCGTCGGCTTCCGGCGGGGGCTCTACCTGCACGCGCACCGCAAAGCAAAGATAGGGTGGGAGGAGGAGGAGGCGGAGGAGGAGGACGAGAAGGAGGAGAAGGAGCAGGAGCAGGAGCAGGAGCAGGAGCAGGAGCAGGAGAAGGAGGAGGAGGAGGAGGAGCAGCAGGAAGAGGAGGAGGAGGAGGAAGAGGAGGAGGAGGAGGAAGAGGAGGAGGAGGGTGAAGGAAAGGAGAGGCAAGCCCTTGCACGTAGAGCGAGAACGGGGAGGACAGAGAGGGGCAAAGGACAAGCTAGGTGCGCGGATGCCACATTTGACATTCTAACCCCTCCCACCCGTCCCTGTCCATTACTCTGACTTTTTCTCTACCCACGGACGCGTGTGATTGCGGACCTGGAACTCCCCAGAAGACTACATCGTGCTATGCTCAACCGGACAAATAAAGGGTGCTGCGTACATAGGAGGGGAGGAGCATGGGGGACCAGGGGAAGGAGTGGGGCGGCAACGATGAGCAAGGACTCGGATCCAGAAAGTGGCCCGCGCTGGGGCGAGAGCGCCATTGTGGACGACGGGAGCAAAGCGCCGATCCTAACATGAGGCCCGCGATGTAGCGGCAACATCATTTTGAGACAACGAGAGCGTTTCGATTGAAAACAACATAGGACATGCCAAATAATGCAATCCTGTCTGTGAAACAGCTACGCAGAAGGGGGCGGACTGGTTCCCAGTCTTCGGGAAAGAGAAGAGAGAGTAGTATGCAGCGTGCGGTTGTAAAGCCGCTGCCCCAGTCAGCTCTTTCTCCGAAGCACACCTTCCCCCTTCCTCCCTTCCTCCCTTCCTCCTTCCCCTCCCCCTCCCTCCCTGCTGCTCTCCCCTCCTGGCGAGAGTTCAGCAGGACAGGGCGAGAGGGGGGCTTCGCGGGGAAGGAAGGAGCAAAGGACAAGCTATGTGGGCTCGCGCCATATCCGACA